TAAAGTTCCCTTGCTTTACTTTATGCTTTTTTTTTTGCTTTACCAAAGTTGCTTAATTGTTGTGAAAATTAAAATAACCTTGGGATATATCCGAACATTACAGAATAATTCAGAAAAAATGGGTAAGCGGTTCGAATTTTGAATCCCCCCTCCACCTTTCCTGCATGGTTCAAAATCTGCTTTGGTTGTCCAAAGTCATATGTTTTCTTCCAAATTTCAATCTTTTCCAAACAAACCTATTGAACCCTACTATCTATCTATCTATCTATCTATCTATCTATCTATCATCTATCTATCTATCTATCATCTATCTATCTATCTATCTATCTATCTATCTATCTATCTATCATCTATCTATCTATCTCCAGTCCAGAGGTGTAGCTCTTTCCTTATTTCATTTTTCCATGTGAGTACAAGGAACTGCAGTATATTTTCTTATTGACCAAAAGGCAGAGAGATACTGGCTATAATTTGGTTTGCTAGGCTTTTTCCTGTTCCATTATGCATATGGGTGTACTTTTTGTCCAGGACCATGAACATCCATATTCAGTTCACAGTTACATAAGCAGAGTATAACTGTTACACATGCAGTTTCACATTCTTGGGAGTTTATTAAGCAAGGAATTCAAGCATTGCATTCTTTTGCCTGATGCAACGTGCAGCCTGTTGCATATGTGCCTTCTCTCTGTGGTTCTCCCAGCTCTAGTAAGCCATCAATAGCTCATGAGCCTGTAACAGTCCCATCATCTGTCTTGGTGTGTTGGAGCCCTTCCGCTTTTGTGCTGGCCATAAAGCAATGTTTGAGAAATGATAACAACAGCAAAATCTAGCAAAAGAACTTTTTGACCCCTGAAGATATAAAAGGCCATGAAATGTGATGGCAAAAAGAATGAAATTATGAGCCAGAATGTTCCTAGCCAGTGCAGTGTGCTATCCAAGGTGTCTGGGGGCATACTCTCCTAACCCAACACCAGAAATATCCATTGTCCATGTAATTATGTCAATGGGGATTCTTTATTTGTTATTTATTTATTTTTATCCCCTTTTTCTCCCAACATAAGAATTCAAGGAAGTTTGGGTCTCTATAAAATGCTAATTGACTTAGCCGTAAACGGTTTGGGACCCGCCTACCTGCGTGACCGCATCTCCGTATATGAACCCACACGATCCCTCCGTTCATCTGGAGAGGCCCTGCTCACGATCCCACCTGCGTCGCAAGCGCGTTTGGTGGGGATGAGGGACAGGGCCTTCTCTGTGGTAGCCCCTCAACTCTGGAACTCTCTCCCCAAGGACATCAGACAAGCCCCAACGTTGGCAGTCTTTAGGAAGAGCTTGAAGACCTGGCTGTTCCAGTGTGCCTTTCCAGAATAGGAAACTCCCAGCATCATGTCCCAAATGCACTTTACTAGAGATTTAAGATTGTCTGCACATCGCACCTACACTAAAATCCTTACATTTCACCTGTCATGTCCAGCACTTTTAATTTTATTCATTACATTTGGCCCGGCCCTAGATTTAAATGTGTCATGATGTATTGTTTTATTGTTTTACTGTTACTGCTTTAATGTTTATTGGTTTGCTTTATGAGTTTTATTGTTGTATTTGTTATATTGTTGTTTTATTGAGGGCCTTTGCCTTTGTAAGCCGCACCGAGTCCTTCGGGAGATGTTAGCGAGGTACAAATAAAGTTAATAATAATAATTAATAATTAGCAGTTGACTGCCTGCTGAATCAATATGTAGGCAAATTCAATCAGGTCAGTGGTTTTACTTCTGGTTGTGGTTGTTGTGTGCCTTCAAGTTGTTTATGACCTATAGCAATCTCAGGGAGATCTTATCACAATTTTCTTGGCAGGGTTTGCTCTGAAGGGGTTTGGCATTGCCTTTTTATGAAGCTGCGTGAGTATAACTTTTGAGGTCCTAGTCCAATATTCAAACCACCACACTATGTTGACTTGTGGTTTACTTAGGTCTAACAAAATCATTCTCTTCTAACCCCCCCCCCCCCCCCCCACACACACACACCACAACAATAAAATAGGATAAAGAAGAAAAAACCACAACAAAATAAAACCAGAAATCACTGTGCATCATGAAGACTGCTAGCCATGCGTTAACAGTGAATATGTTTTACTTGGCAAGTGTAGTGTAGACAAACCCTCAGTCACTCTCCTTTCTTCGCGAAGACTATGACAAACCATGGATCTCAACTCCCAACTGCTTTCTTTAGAATCTTCCAACATCCTTCACCTGATTGGTTCTCAGAGCATTCTGCATGCTTTATTGAAAAGGAAAGTGGAGCTTAGCCTATTGTTCCGTTGCTCAGCATTAACAGAAAGCCACTGTAAGTTGTGTATTCATTCCCAAGTGTCGGCAGGGGAACTACTTTGCATGGAATAATGTGGATTTGTTAATGATTACCATAGCATCAGCTTTACTCAGGGTAAACCTAGGAAAGAGAGACTTTCAAGAAACCTTGTCAAGTCTTCATCTGTTCAGGTCCTACAAACTCAAGGTTTTGGCTTCATCAATAGTTGTTGTTGTGTACTTTTGATTGTTTCTAACTTAAAATGTTCCTAAGATGTGTTTTCTGAGGTCAACAGTGTGTGTTTCAGACAAGACCTCCTAGCGAGTTTCCATGGCCAAGCAGAAAATTGAATCATGATCTCCAGTTGTAGGTCAGTGCTGAAACCGCTACACCATACCGACTCCCCATCTACTTGCACTGAAGACTTCCTCTATTCCAGTGTTTCTCAACCAGGGGTCGGGACCCCTGAGGGGGTCGCGAAGGGGTCTCAGAGGGGTCGCCAAAGACCACCAGAAAACACAGTATTTTCTGATGGTCATGGGGATTCCATGTGGGAAGTTTGAGCCAATTTTATCATTGGTGGAGTTCAGAATGTTCTTTGATTGTAATGAACTATAAATCCCAGCAACTACAACTCCCAAAAGTCAAGGTCTATTTTCCCCAGGCTTCACCAGTGTTCACATTTGCGCATATTGAGTATTTGTGCCAAGTTTGGTCCAGATCCACCACAGTGCTCTCTGGATATAGGTGAACTACAACTCCCAAACTCAAGGTCAATACCCACCAAACCCTTCCAGCGTTTTCCATTGGTCATGGGAGTTCTGTGTGGCAAATTAGGTTCAAATCCAATGCTGGTGGAGTTCAGAATGCTATTTGATTATAGGTGAACTATAAATCCCAGCAACTACAACTCCCAAATGGCAAAATCAATCCTCCCCCAACCCCACTAGCATTTACATGTGGTTGCATTGGGTATTTGTGCCCAGTTTGGTCCAGTGAATGAAAATACATCTTGCATATCAGATATTTACATTATGATTTATAAGAGTAGTAAAATGACTGTTATGAAGTAGCAACAAAAATGTTATGGTTGGGGATCACCACAACACGAGGAACTGCATTAAGGGGTCACGGCATTAGGAAGGTTGAGAACCACTGCTCTATTCCTTCTCCTTGCCAAGCATTATAATATTTTCTAAGGAACTGCATTGTCTCATGATTGTCTGGGGTGGATTAGAAGGAAGGGGTAACAGTCAGGTGAAGATGTTGGAAGATTCAAAGGATGATAGCCTGACTTTGGTTTCTAAACAGATTGACTTCCGAGGACAATTCAGGTTTGGGTTGTTGTAGGTTTTTTCGGGTTATATGGCCATGGTCTAGAGTCATTCTCTCCTGACGTTTCGCCTGCATCTATGGCAAGCATCCTCAGACATTCACACCTAGCTCCAGCGGACAAGAGTCCTTTGTCTCACCCTGGTCATTCCACAGATATAAAAACCCTTTTTCCTAGTTCCAACAAACCTCACTACCTCTGAGGATGCTTGCCATAGATGCAGGTGAAATGTCAGGAGAGAATGCCTCTGGACCATGGCCATATAGCCCAAAAAAAACCTACAACAACCCAGTGATTCCGGCCATGAAAGCCTTCGACAATAAATTCAGGGTTTATTTGCTCAAGGGTTTATTTATTTATCTTTTTGACCATCCATTGTAACTGTAAAACTCTTTCCAACACAACATTTCAAATAAATTGAATGTATGCCTGTCAGTTTTCTTGACTGCTTAGCTTACACTGCAATACACAGAAGCTGAGATTATGTGGATGCCTTTAAAAATATTCAGTGGTGCTCCATGTTCCAGCCATGTATTCCTGTGCTTTCAGTGTCTAGCTTTATTGAAATGTTGAAAAGATCCAGGGAAGTTCCTTCCTATGTTTTCTCTGCTATGAAAAGATTGTGTAATGGAATTTGTTAGTCAAAGTATAGAGCAGCTCATGATGTACTCGTTTTGTTTCCTCAGGAATTTGGCAACTCATTATTTGCCAGTGGTCTTTATGCATATATGTTGATACAGTGGTTTTCAACCGGGGGTCCCCAGATGTTTTTGGCCTAAAACTCCCAGAAATCTCAGCTGGTTTACCAGCAGTAAGGATTCCTGGGAGTTGAAGGCCAAAAACCATCTGGGGACCCCAGGTTGAGAACCACTGTGTTAATAGGAGCAATGTCCAATCTCATCACACTAGAGAAAAAATCTACTTAAAATCCAGTTTCTGCCTCCTGCAGAATTCTGGGGGTTCGTAGTTTATGGAGGGGCCTTGAAAAGCCTCACTAAACTACAAACCCTCACTAAACTACAAACTACAAACCCCAGAATTCTGCAGGAGGCAGAAACCAGATTTTAAGTGGATTTTTTTCTCTAGTGTGATGAAATAGAGGACCACACTGTCTCAGAATGGTCCTCTGAGAGAGTGTGAATGACGGCACACAACAAGAAAGGCCTCTTGCTTTCATGTTCTTTTTTTTTTTTTTTGAGATTTTGGGAGACATTTAGTTCACTACTGCTATTGGTAGAAAACAATGTCAAGCCTTGAGCTTCAAAAGTACTTTTATCTTAACAAAGGTGAAAGAATTAATCGTTTTTTTATTACAATTACCCTCTTATTCTTTGTCAGGTGAACCTCATTTCTGACCATTATGGAGAAACGTGTAGTGTTACCAACAACCTCCAAAGAAGCCAGGAAAGCGGTGAGCTCACCAGGAATGTCTTTCTGACAGACTCAATTCATAAAGTGAAAAAAGTTGATTCCTTCTTCTTTTCCTTGTCACTGGGTGCATCTACACTGTACAATAAATGCAGTTTGACATCACTTTCTTTGGCATGACTCAATGTCATGGAATCCTGGGAGCTGTAGTTTGATGAAGCACCAGTGGGTTTTTTTTGGCAGAGAAAGCTAAAAATGTTGTATATCAAACTTCCATGAATTCCTAGCATTGAACTATGGCAGTTAACATGATGCATTAATTATATAACATACATTCACAAAAAGGAGCAATAGTATCTATCCATATGCTGAAGATTATTAACTAATTTCTTTTTTGTAATGTGTTCAGGGTTTCTCAACCTGGGGGTCGGGACCCCTGGAGGGGTCGTGAGGGGGTGTCAGAGGGGTCACCAAAGACCACAAGAAAACACAGTATATTATGTTGGTCATGGAGGTTCTGTGTGGGAAGTTTGGCCCAATTCAATCGTTGGCAGGGTTCAGAATGCTCTTTGATTGTAGGTGAACTATAAATCCCAGCAACTACAACTCCCAAATGTCAAGGTCTATTTTTCCCAAACCCCACTAGTGTTTACATTTGGGCATATTGAAAATTCGTGCCAAGTTTGGTCCAGATCCATCATTGTTGGAGTCCACAGTGCTCTCTGGATGTAGGTGAACTACAACTCCCAAAACTCAAGGTCAATGCCCACCAAACCCTTCCAGTATTTTCTCTTGGTCATGGGAGTTCTGTGTGCCAAGTTTGATTCAATTCCATCATTGGTGGAGTTCAGAATGCTCTTTAATTGTAGGTTAACTATAAATCCCAGCAACTACAACTCCCACAGGGCAAAATCAATACCCTCCCCCAATCCCAATAGTATTTAAATTTGGGTGTATTGGGTCTTTGTGCCAAATTTGGTCCAGTGTATGAAAATACATCCTGCATATCAGATATTTACATTACTATTCATAACAGCAGCAAAATGACAGTTATGAAATAGCAATGAAACTAATTTTATGTTTGGGGGTCACCATAACATGAGGAAGTGCATTAAGGGTCGTGGCATTAGGAAGGTTGAGAACCACTGTGTTATATCAAGTGACAGGTTGAGTATTCCTTATACAAACTCCTTCAGACCAGAAGTGTTTTGGATTTAATTTTTTTTAATGGAATATTTGCATATACATTATGAGATATCTTAGAGATAGAATCAAAGAATCATAGAGTTGGAAAAGACAACATGGGCCATCTAGGCCAACTCCTACCATGCAGGAAAAGCACAGTCAAAGTACCCCATCCAGCCTCTGGTTAAAAGCTCCAAGGAAGGAGCTTCCACCAGACTATTAGGCAGCAAACTCCACTGTTGAAAATCTTGCATGGTCAGGATGTTCTTCCTAATGGTCAGGTGGAATCTCCTTTCCTGTAATTTCAACCCATTGTTCTGAGTCCCAGTCTCCAGGGCAGCAGAAAACAAGACTGTTCCCTCCTCATGACTTATCACATATCTAAACATTCTCATGTCTCCTCTCAACCTTCTCTTCTACATGCTAAACATACTGAGCTCTTTAAGACATCCTCAGAGAGATTCATGGTTTCCAGACCTTTGATCCTTTCAGTCACCCTCCTGTGGACACCTTCCAGCTTGTCAATATCTCTTTTAAGCAACAGCTGTCTCATTCAATGTCTCTCATATTAACCAATAGAAACCAATATTCACTAATCCTACATTTTCATAAAATCCTAGAGTTGGAGGAAATGCCCAAGGGCCATCTAGTCCAACTCCCTTAATGATGATGATGATGATGACGACGACGACGACAACAACAATTTTATTTATAACCTGCCCTATTTCCCCATGGGGACTTCTTCCCGGCAGAAGGGCAGATGGCCATGCAGCCCCTACACTAATTATTATGCTTCCCATATTGAGTTGGAAGGGATCGCCAAGGGCCATCCATTTAGTGATTTCTTCCCAGCCCAGCACAGAGATTACTTACTAGAAGACAAGTATCGCTCAGTCCTCCTCTTTGCAGATTCAACAATTGATTGGAATTTTGGCTGTCTGTTGCTACGGAGGGACAAATCTGTCCCCTATCCTGAGAGGAGCTTTCTGATGCAAGCAGAATTCTGGGAAATGTAGTTTAGGGCAGGGCATTTTGAATTCTCTTGCATAGGGCTCCTTGCCATCCTAAACTAGATTTCCTAGAACTCTGTGCTTTTTCAGCCTCTTTCTCAGTGAACTCTGTTCCTTGCTTTCTCTCTGCTAATGATGAGAGGCCATTAATTTAAAGATGAAAAGCAGACTTTTTGGCTTTGTTTTGCTCCTTTGCGCTGAAAATAAAACTGACTTTGGGAGGCTTCTGAGATTTACAAAATGCAAACAAAAAAGTATGGGGTAAGTTCCAGTTCTTAAATTTTTGGTACAGGCCATGCACAAGTGTCGGATATTGCATCATAAATCTAAATTTAACAAATTTGATACAACTTATGAGGACTAACGAAAAAATGCACACCCCTAGTAGCCTCCAAGGCTTCCTTTCCAACATCTGGTCAAATATTGGTAAATATAACTATTGTACTAAGTTCTTGCAATTGTTCCTCTTACCTACAGGATCTGACAAAAAAGCTTATTTGGATTACAGTGGTTTCCTGTCTCCTATCTATGCACTATGGCTACAACTTCTGGGTATCTTACTCTCCTACTGTGGTAAGATGATCCTATAATGCCACTAACTTCTGTGGCTTATAGAATTATAGAATTAGAAGGGATAAAAAGGCTATCTGGTAGGCATGTGTGATCCATTAAAATGGTTCTAAATTCCTTCCAAAAATAGTGGGCACTGGTGCGTTGTTTTTAAATTGTTGTTTTTAAGTTTGGGTGCTGGAAATTTCAAAACTTTATGAAATTTACGAATATTCATAAATATTCTTCACTGTCAGTGGGGAAACTTCAGGGACTTCTCTCTTCCCTCAATTTTTGAACAAACTTGCTGCACTGGTACAACACATTCCCCACTCTTTATCCACCAAATTTCAAAACATTTAGATGATCCACTGATTTTTAGAGATTTTTTTTAAAGTCTTTATGAAAAAGATTTTTTTTAAATAAAAGGGCAATCTCCTTGAATTTTTTTTGAGAATGACACAACATAAAAGGGAATAATTCCTCCCAGCTTTCAGACATATTTTGTTGTTGTTCATTCGTTCAGTCGTCTCCGACTCTTCGTGACCTCATGGACCAGCCCATGCCAGAGCTCTCTGTCAGCCGTCACCACCCCCAGCTCCTTCAAGGTCAGTCCAGTCACTTCAAGGATGCCATCCATCCATCTTGCCCTTGGTCGGCCCCTCTTCCTTTTTCCTTCCACTTTCCCCAGCATAATTGTCTTCTCTAGGCTTCGCTGTCTCCTCATGATGTGGCCAAAGTACTTCAGCTTTGTCTCTAGTATCCTTTCAGACATATTTATACCATACAATATATGGTATTTTTAAAATTTTCACAGAACTTTTTTTTAAGTATCATCATTGAATGTCTCTCATATTTACCAAAAGAGGAAACCAATATCAACCACTAGGGGAAATCCACCAACAATACAGTCTGGCATGCTGTTTCTACTTTAGCCTTCTGTAAGAACTAGATTCACTTCCTGAGTGACCGCATGAAAATATAGCAAACCTAAATATGATGTCATTTTGACTGACCTAAATCAATCCATCCTGTTTGTGAGCCACCTGTAAATGAAGGGCAGGAGACCACTAGGGGAGACTACCCACCAACAATACAGCCCAACATGGTGGTACTACTTTAGCCTTCTGAACATACCATGGTTGAGGTCAACGGGCCTTCTTATATATTTTAAGGTCTTTTTCCTAATTTTGCCCACGAGACACGATCTGTATCCATATCCCCATCCATTTATTGGTTTCTCTAATCTTTTTTTAATGTAATCATCTTTATTACATAAGGTTTTTAATAATAATACAATAAAATTGGGGAAGAGATCGGATGATGGGGTAGGGGGATGATTAAGGGTTCAAAGGGGGAGGGGAAAATATTGTTTTCCGGTCCATTCCACAGGGTGTTTCCTCTATCTTCTTGGTTTTCTCGTAAGTTTACACAAATTAACCAATTCTACTTGTATGGTGAATCCTCTTCCCTTGAGATATTCTTTAAATATTGACCAATCCTATATTTTGATGCTGCAACAGAAAAGTTAAGGAGTCCATTTTCATATAGTCTAATACTTTTATATTCCAAGTATCAACTGTCAGGATTTCTTTCGATCGCCATTTCTGGGCAAGTAATGTTCTTGCTGCAGAGGTCAGGTGAAAAAAAAATATCCTTATTTCTCCATATCTCAAAATCTATTAGGTTTAGCAAATAATATTCCGGTTTAAATTCAAACTTAAATTTTAGTATCTTTTGGGACTGCTCGTGTATTTTTCTCTAGTAAAAAGAACCTTAAAACCTGGCTCTTCTGCTGCGCCCCTGGCGAGTAAGTGTACAATATGACACTACTGTTCCTCTCAATGCTTCTGTCACTGGTGTATACGTCCCCCTAATTGGAAGTTTAGTTTTACAACCCTGTGTTTCTTCATGAGCCCCCTGCAAATAACTTGCTCCTATTTTTATCTCATTTGAGTTTTTTAATATTTTATCCTGCACATGTGGCCCGCCCACTGTTACTGTGATTGTGTTTATTAGAATGTTATTTTGTTATTGTATTCATATTTTTTTTGTTTATGTAATTTGTATGCTGTTGCTTGTTGCTTATATTTTGGTTGTATTCTGCTGTAATATGTTGTCCGGGCTTGGCCTCGTGTAAGCCGCCCCGGGTCCCTGTTGGGGAGATGGTGGCGGGGTATAAATAAAGGTTATTATTATTATTATTATCTGTTTTGCATCACCATCATGAGTGAAAGAAGGATCCCACTTCTTCCGCACACTTCCAGCATTTATTATTTTTGTTCTTATAATATCTTGCTAATTGCTGGGGTGTAAGGTGCCAGTGATAAAACATCTTATACCTGTTTTCTATTATATTCATTGATCTGGAATATTTTTTTTTGATTCTCCACACCTTTCCCCAGTTGTCTAATAAGATTGAGTGGCTGATGTCAACTGCCCACTTAATCATATTTTCTTTTATCAACTCCTTTTCTGTGTTGCATTCTAAGATTTTCAGATATAGTATTATTCCGATTGTTTTTGTCTCTCTAATCATTATAGTATCCCATATTGACTCCTTAGGTGCAAAATCATATTTCGTATCATCCTTGTAACTGTCCTTGATCTGCATATATTGGAACCAGGATAGATTGCTGCCTCCTGTCCTTAGTTCCTCTAAGGATTTTAAATTCCAAGTATTATTCTGGATTTTTCTTAGCAAGTGTCTGTATTTGTACCAGTTATCATTTGGGATCTCTCTTTTATGATGGGCCTCCACTGGGGAGAGCATGAAGGTGTTTTACTATAGAATCATGTATTGTATTTTCCCCATATCTTTAATAGTGCGGCTCTGACATAATGGTTAGTAAAAAAATTCTTTACCTTGGCTTTTGGTACCAAAGGTATGCATGCCACCCCCGGCAGAGGTCAAACCCTTCTAAGCTTAACATGTTTCTTTTTGTTAGCATTGCCCATTCCTCCATCCATGTAAGTGCACATGCCTCCAAATACGATTGGAAATCTGGTTATGACAGCCCCTTTCTTTTTTTGGAATCTGTCAATATTTGGAATTTGATCCTTACTTTCTTTCCATCCCAAAGGAACTCTGTGATATCTTGTTTCCCTTCCTTGAAACAATAATTTGTCCTTAGTCTAATTTGAAATAAAAACAACATTTTTGGAAGGACACTCATTTTTATAACTGCAATGTCAAATTTAGGAATTTTCAATTCTTTATTTTCCTTTTCATCTCCTCCCAGGTTCACAACTGTTTTTAAAAAAGTTGTGTGTTGTGGGCTGTTATTTGAATTCCTAGATAATAAATCTTGTTCATTACTTCCAATTCCATAAATTCATATATTTTTTTCTTTTCTAGTTTGTTATGTTTTTAGTTAGTATTTAGTTAGTATTTTTGTTTTTCCTTTATTAATTTTTAAACTTGCCAGAACCCCAAAATTTATTTTTTTTCTATCCATTTTTGTGAAGTTTCTATCGGATTTTCTATTATGCAAACCAAGTCGTCAGCAAACGTCTTGACCTTGAACTCCGCCTTTGTGCCCCTAAATTTCCCATCTTTTGTAATCTCTTCTAGCAATACTTCCAACACCATTATAAACAATAAAGGGCATAAGGGGCACCTTTGTCTAGTACCTTTGTGTATTTGTATACTTTCTGTATCACGGCCATTTAGCTTTCTGATTAGAATAGACAGTCTTTATCGCATTTGTAAAGTAAAATCCTATGTCCATTTATCTTACAATCTGAAGCATAAATTCCCATCTGGTATTATCAAACGCCTTTTCAGTGTCAAGGAATAATAGTCCTAACTCTCTTTGTGGGTTTCTTTCATAGTATTCTACTAAATCTAGTACCATTCTTATATTATCTCACATATATCTATTGGGCAAAAAGCCTGTTTGATCTTCTTTTATTTTGTCTTTTAAAAACTCTTTAATCTGTTGGCCATGATGTTTGCGAAGATTTTGTAATCATTATTCAGTAATGAAACTGGCCTGTAATTTTTAACATTGTGAGGATCTGATGTTGACAAGCCCATAGTTTTTCAAGCAAACAGTTCACTTTTCCAGTGCTTCATCCTATTTTCAATAAAAGTGCTGACATTTTTACAAATCCCGATGGTGTCTAGGCACTTGATGATCCAACGGTGTGGGAGTGAGTCAAAGGCTTTTTTGTAGTCAATCCACGTCATGTGAAGATTGGTTTTTCGACTTTTGCAGTTCTCCAGAATCATTTTGTCAATTAATAACTGGTCTTTTGTTCCCCTGCTTTTCCATTTGTTGCCTTTCTGTTCATCTGGCAAGATGTTATTTTCTTCAATATCTTGAATTCTATCAGCTATGGTGCTGGTCAATAATTTAAACATAGTGGGCAGACATGTTATCGGCCTGAAGTTTCCTGGTGCTGCTCCTTTTGCTGGAACCTTTTGTATCAGATATGTCCTCCCAGTTGTCAACCATTCATTGATACTGTTTTTTTTGCAGCATCACACTGAATTGTTGGGCCATTTTTCCATGTAGGCTAGTCAGATATTTTAGCCAAAATCCATGCAGTTGATCACTATCAGGCGATCACTATCCAGTTCTTTACTTTTTCCACTCGTTTGCTGATCATTTCAGTTGTTATTTCCCTCTGTTCCATTTTGTTCTGTGATAATTTTTCTTCAAACTCCTTTATCCACCCAGCGTTTTTGTTGTAGTTCTTATTATTTTCCCAAAGTTCTTTCCAAAACTTAGTTGTTTTCTCAGGCTTTATGACTACTGTGTCTGTTGTTTGGTTCAGACTCTGGTAGAATCGTTTTTGGTCTGATTGAAACAGTTGATTTTGTCTGCACTGGATGACTCTGGCATCGTATCTTTCAATTTTTCAGGCTGTTGCTGTAATTTGTTCTTTCACAATTTCCAAAGCTTCTTCAATTTTTCTGGTGTTCAGCCATATCAGATATTGCTTGATTTTGTCATTCTTCAATTTCTTCTCCTTCATATTTTTCAGGTTATTTGCATCTGATCATAGATTTTTGATTTTCAATTCCAATCTGACCTTCCATTTTGGTTTTCCAGTTGATTTTCTCAGAAGCTGCATTGGTTGTAGGAGCCCAAGCTCTTCTGTTACTATCACTGCTGTACTGTAGGCAAACTGGTTTGTTTGTTCAATTGATGTTATTTGGACAATAGAAAGTAATCTATTCACAACCTTCATGAGAGATGCCAGTTGTCTCTTAGGCACTGTTTTTAAAGTTGGGAGTCACTTTCTTATTGCATTCGATACAGCATGAGCCATGATTTTATCCTTGAGCTCTTGTTGTCTTGCTGTCAATGTTCCTGGTAGTTCAACAAGTGCCTCAGATGCCAGTTCTTCAAATTCTTTCAAAAGCTCCACATTTTCTTCTGGTTCAGTCTGTTCCAGAGTTCCAAATGTTGCTGGAGTCTCTGCTACTGTCTGTGCTGTGACTTGATGGTCATTTGTTTTGCAGATTTTCTGAATTTCTTTGAGTTCAACTTCATTGAACACTGTTTCTGATTATGAATCTTCGTTGATCAGTCAGTCGGGTTTCAGTTATCTGCGAGTCAGGGTACTCTTGTTTCCACAATTGATATATCCTTTTTTTGGTAGTCACACTTTTGAGGTTCTGATTTGTAATAGTGTTTCATAACTGTGCGGTTTTTTGGCATTGTATATTTATGCTGCTTCTGTGATTGTTCATTTGTATTTTGATTCTGTAGCCCACTTGTCAATGGATATCCAGAATCAGCAGCATCCACCACGGTCCTTTTTATCCTGGGCGTCAACTGAGCCAGTATAGACTTTGTTTTGGTTTGTTTCTCCATAATGCTAATGGGTTAGGTGCTCTTGGTTCCACTCCTCAGCTGAGACCTCTCTGGCTTGGTTGGACCTGCTGGTAGTTACACTACTGGCAGCTCAGCTCTCAACATGGAGCAGTTAAGCCCTCCACCATGACAAGGTGGCACCCATAGGGGGGATAATAATAATAATAACAATAATAACAATAATAATAATAACAATAATAATTAAAGAATACACAACTAAAGCACTTCTGAAAGATGCCCATCCAAAGATGGGCATTTGACCATCCTACAAGGCCATATTTTCCCCTGCGAACAATCCTTACAATACTTAAGTGCTTGCTACTGTTTAGATGGAATCTCTTCCAGAGAAACAAGGTTGCCACCTCTTGGGCCCTATTTATACTGTCATATAATGTGGTGTAGACTCATATAATGCAGTTTAATGCAGTTTCACTGAATTATATGAGTTTACACTGACCATATTCATGCGGATTCAAATTGCGTTATATGGTAGTGTAGAACTTTAGTATTTTTCTGTAGTGGGGAAATATTCTAACATGATTCTTGTGTGTTCTTCTTCTAGCTTGTGGCAAAATTTTATAACATATCAGTTGGTCAATCGGCCTCTGAAGGACTTGATGTGCTCACTTTGTCAGTCATCATAGGTGCATTCCCACTTGGAGGTATATTCGGGGCAATTGTGGGTACCTGTTTGACCGACAGAATTGGCAGGTATGGAAATGACATTTTGTAGATTGAATGGAGCTGGTCCTAGCCAAATGAGGTGGTCCTTTGAAGCGCCAGTTGCCACATCTTGCCTACATTTCCTCCTTTAACCATAACCTGTTGTCTCCCAGTGCATGGAGTACAGTGCATCGCCATGAAAGATGCAATGACATTGTCTTCCATAACTGCCCCATATATCTCTGCAGCAACAGGAACCAATGGGAAGGGATTTAAGGAAATGGCAGATGTCACAACTCCTTTAGGTTTTACTGGACATTGAGTATAGTGGTTTATTGAATGGACATACCCAGAAGCCACAATGGTCCATTAAAATTCTGTTCCTTAAAAATGTTGGTTTTCAAGTAGCTAATGAAAATTGGTAACACATCCTCCACTTTTTGCAGCTGTTGTCCTTATTTGGTTTCAATCGATTTGAACCATTAGCTTTTCTAATATATAGAATGGAAATGGCTGTAACTCATGGGTGGAGTACATGCTATTGCTCAGAAGGTTCCAGATTTAGTTCTACCTACTTATTTCGAATTATGGGTGGTAACAGTAGAACCCCTGAAACCTCTCAAATATTCCTCTAGCTCCCACACCCCATAATCATTTTCTCAGGTGACTTTTTTTCACTCCTCAAGTTCTCAAGCTGGAACTGCTACAACAAGCAGCATGTTCATCAAACAAACAAACAAACAAACAAACAAACAAACTTTATTTATATCCCACCCCATCTCCCCATAAGGACTCAGGGTGGTTTACAACATAAAAGGAAAACATTCAGTGCCAGAAAAATAGACACTAAATTAAACAATACAGATAAATATAAAACATTCAATTGTAAAAAAAATCACAATAAAAGACCAATAAAACACATTTTCATGGAAACAAAGCCACAATGGTTTGTTGTAGGGGTTTTTGGGCTATATGGCCATGGTCTAGAGGCATTCTCTCCTGATGTTTCGCCTGCATCTATGGCAAGCATCCACAGAGGTAGTGAGGTCTGTTGGAGCTAGGAAAATTATCTATCTGTGGAATGACCAGGGTGGGGCAAAGACCTCTTGTCTGCTGGAGCTAGGTGTGAATGTTTCAGCTGACCATCTTGATTAGCATTTGATGGCCTGGCAGATTTTTTGGTGTGACTTGTCAGTGCCTGGGGGAATCTTTTTTTGAGAGGTGATTACTGATTAGCTGTCCCTGATTGTTTCCTCTCTTTTGTTTTGCTGCTGTAATTTTAGAGTTTTTTAATATTGGTAGCCAGGTTAGAAACCTACAACAACCCAGTGATTCCGACCATGAAAGCCTTCAACAGTACAAAGCCACAGTGTTTCGCAGCATATCCATTTTGAGAAATCGCACATTCTCATATAGTTGCGTTGTCTGTGGAATAGGGCTTGTTTGTAGAGACAATATGTGGCTAATGCTTGTTCAAGTCCCAGATCATGTTTATATGGGCAAAATATTTATTATTTATTTATTTACAGCTTTTATATTCCGCCCTTCTCACCCTGCAGGGGACTCAGGGTGGATTACAGTGTACACATATATGGCAAACATTCAATGCCAATTTTTGACATACAAACATATACAGACATACATAGAGGCTATTTAACTTTTTCTGGCCACCAGGGGAGCTGTCGCTTTCATTGTCCATCTGCGACGCTGATGAAGCACTTCCACATTCCTCACATGCTTCCCCGCTGGAATGCTTTTGCTGGAGTCTTCTTTATGGCCTCAAAAATCAGTTAATTTAGCCTCCCACACTTTAAGGTGGTACCTTATTTTCCTACTTGACAGATGCAACTGTCTTTTGGGTTGCAAAGGTCGACAACAGGCTACACACAATTGGTTGGAAACCCACTCCAACCCGGGCTGGCTTCGAACTCATGACCTTTTGGTCAGAGTGATCTTAATGCAGCTGACACTTAGCCAGCTGTGCCACAATCCCGGTGCTAAAATAAGTGCTGCTCAGCTACTGGGTTCTCAGTAGAACCAGTACACCCAGCTACTAATTCGCATCTATGGAACACTGAATTGGACTATCTTCCTAAAGTTTGGGAGGTTTAAATAGCTGGATCAGGCTGAATTTTGGCTGATCCATTGATCTTACTGCCAACAGACCCATGGCTTCATCACCAGAAGGGGCTTCAACAGCTCCCTTCTGAAAGCTTTCTGGCATTGTCCCATTCCTGGTGATGTCATTTGGGTGCCAAACCATGTCACCATAAATATGTAACCAGCAAGCCTCTGGGAGGAATCTGCTTGCTGTTGGTGATGTGTTGTTCGTGGTGTCTCCAATACTCCTTCACCCTGCCTAGCCTTTTGGAAAGCCAAACGGCTCCAGCAGGGCCCTCCTGAGCTGTAATAGAGCAGCTTCAGAGTCCTTTATCGCCATGGAAGTAAGACTGTACACAGAACTCACACTTGGACAAGAATTTGGATGCAATTACTTGTGCTTCCCCAGAACAAATAAATTGGAAATAACTTATTCATATAAAGGTCAAGAATACTGTCAATGCTCTTTTTATAATATATTAATTGGCATCTCCACACCCACCCCCTCTCTGTCTTTTTAGGAAAGGTACCTTGTTGCTGGCTAATTTTTTGGCCCTCCTCTCTGCTCTGTTCATGGCTTCCTCCCATTACATAGGTGCCTTTGAATACGTTATGTTTGCCCGCACGTATACTGGGATGTGCGCAGGTGAGAGGTTTTTACAGTTAGCATTTTACTTTGTAACCTGATTTTTAAGAGGGCGCTGTGTAGTATTGCAATCCATCTGAAATTTGTATTGTAAGGCTGGGCTGTGTAAGATGTATAAGTACACGGATATACAGTTCAAATAAACGACATAGAAACATCGAAAAGAGATCCAGGAGCAAAGCTTTCCTTTTACATATTGGCTGGAGATGGCACTGTTGAAAAGACAGGTCACCTTCTCAAACTGAAAAATAGGTTGGCTCACAGGGAGTGAGGAATCCTGCCACAAAATACCTGGCAAGGCTTTGGCAATACATATTGGTTTCCCGCACAAGCACTTGAAAAATTTGGACTTTTCTTCTTCCTCTTCCTTCTCTCTCTTGTGGAGTGAGAAACAAATGGTGGAAGGGGTGGTAATAAAAGCAATGTATGAATAACGAAAGGAAGAAAAAAAACCCACAACCCTCATATCAGTTTTATTTAAAAAAAACAAAAAAACCACCTTTATCAGCAACGTAATATATTTATTTATTTGTCGTGTCAGGGCAACCAGTCAATTATATTACATTTCTAACAGAACAAAGCAAACAAATAGACAAAATACAACATGTGTGAGTTTGGTAGTTGATTAAATGTCCTTTGACCAGTATCTGGCCACTTGGAGTGCCTCTGGTGTTGCTGCAAGAAGGTCCTCCATTGTGCATGTGGCAGGGCTCAGGTTGCATTGCAGCAGGTGGTCAGTGGTTTGCTCCTCTCCACACTCGCATGTCGTGGATTCCACTTTGTGGCCCCATTTCTTGAGGTGGGCTCTGCATCTCATGGTGCCAGAGCGCTGTCTGTTCAGTGCCTTCCAAGTCGCCCAGTCCTCTGTGTGCCCAGGGGGGAGTCTCTCATTTGGTATCAGCCATTGGTTGAGGTTCTGGGTTTGAGCCTGCCACTTTTGGACTCTCGCTTGCTGAGGTTTTCCAGCGAGTGTCTCTGTAGATCTTAGAAAACTATTTCTTGATTTAAGTCATTGACATGCTGGCTGATACCCAAACAGGGGATGAGCTGGAGGTGTCTCTGCCTTGGTCCTTTCACTATTGGCTGCTACTTCCCGGTGGATGTCAGGTGGTGCAATACCAGCTAAGCAGTGTAATTTCTCCAGTGGTGTAGGGCGCAGACACCCCGTGATCATGCGGCATGTCTCATTAAGAGCTACATCCACTGTTTTAGTGTGGTGAGATGTGTTCCACACTGGGCATGAATACTCAGCAGCAGAGTAGCACAGCGCAAGGACAGATGTCTTCACTGTAACGTAATTAATAACCGTGCATTTGCTTTAAACTCACATGTGCCCTAACTCAATTAAGATGAAAAGATTGGGAACTTCTCCTTACCTATGGGGGCAGGCAACACATTTCAGCATAATTTCAGTCAGCCTCTTATACAGTACAATGGGAAGGTCAGACTTGCATTTTGAAAACATCTCAGAAGAATGAATCATTGGGGTCCCTTATATCCCAAGAAATATAAGGGTGGTGGTGGTGGGGGGGGGGGGGTTGACAACATGTTACATTTATACTGTGTGTTCTCACTTTATTTATCTTCTAACCAGGTATGGTCTCTACCGGTGTTCCATTGTACCTTGGTGAGATCGCCCCCAGAAGTCTGCGGGGTAGCGTTGTCATGGTGCCTCACTTATTTCTAACCATTGGGGTTCTGTTAGCTCAGGCACTTGCTCACAGTCGTCTCCTGGAGGCATCATCAGGTAACTCAGAAAGCTACACAACTGACTTGTGGCAAATTAGTTATTACTAATTACGCTTTCTCACCATTGTGTTTCCTAGGATGGCCTATATTGATGGGTCTTGCTGGAATTTTCCCATTGTGTCAAAGTGTGATATTGCCTTTCCTTCCTGAAAGTCCAAGGTATCTACTAATTCAGAAGAAGAATGAGGAAAAAGCAATAGAAGGTAAAGAGAGCGAAAATATTTAATCCCACATTGGTCTTTCTCACAACATCATACCATTCAGTGATTATTAGAAATTATTGTTGGGTGGTGATTATTAGAAATTATTGTTGGGAGCCTTCTAATCAAGGTAAAAGAAGAAAGCGCAAAAGCCGGGTTGCAGCTAAACATCAAAAAAACCAAGATTATGGCAACAAGAATGACTGACAACTGGGAAATAGAGGGAGAAAATGTGGAGGCCGTGACAGACGTTGTATTTCTAGGTGCAAAGATTACTGCAGATGCAGACTGTGGCCAGGAAATCAGAAGACGCTTACTTCTTGGGAGGAGAGCAATGTCCAGTCTCGATAAAATAGTAAAGAGTAGAGACATCAGACTGGCAACAAAGATCCGCCTAGTCAAAGCCATGGTATTCCCTGTAGTAACCTACGGATGTGAGAGCTGGACCTTAGGGAAAGCTGAGCGAAGGAAGATAGATGCTTTTGAACTGTGGTGTTGGAGGAAAGTTCTGAGAGTGCCTTGGACTGCGAGAAGATCCAACCAGTCCATTACTTCAGGAAATAAAGCCCGACTGCTCCTTGGAGGGAAGGATATTAGAGGCAAAGATGAAGTACTTTGGCCACATCATGAGAAGACAGGAAAGCTTAGAGAAGACAATGATGCTGGGGAAAATGGAAGGAAAAAGGAAGAGGGCCGACCAAGGGCAAGATGGATGGGGCATCCTTGAAGTGACTGGCTTGACCTTGAAGGAGCTGGGGGTGGTGACGGCCGACAGGGAGCTCTGGCGTGGGCTGGTCCATGAGGTCACGAAGAGTCGGAGACGACTGAACGAATGAACAACAACATTGTTGGGTGGTATTACAGTTGTTACGAATGCACAACGATTGAATCACATAAACCATCTAGGCACAGATCTATGTACAGAAAGAAACAAATGAAGCATTTATTTAGAGTCATCCATGTGCAAGGATAGACATGGATCATTCCCTCCTCCCTGAACAACAGAGGGCATAAATCATCCCAATTGAGACCCTGTCACCCCCCCCCCCCCCACCACTCAACACTGGATAAATCGGCAAGTCCCAGTGTTGTCCCAAGTCCCGCTATGCAGCCTCCTCCACCAGGTATAGCTTAGCTCTTGTAGTTTTTTTTAATGATATGACCAGGACCCCGTAGAAATTTTTCAAAACACTTTAGAATTTAAAAGGAGGTTACATAAATTTTTGGAGTCATGCACACCTCTACTATTTGCCAACCAGTCTCATTTTACTGAGGGCCAGCAAATAGCCCTTCCTTCTTAGACTGGCAGGGAAGGGAAACTTAATTCCTTAGGGCATTTATAAAAACTAGCCCAATTCTGATACATTGTATAACCTCTAATTATTATGATTACAGGGCTAGTAAGACATAGGTAATATCACACACACACACATACACCATTCTAGATAAATTTGTACATTTTATGGCTGTTCACATTTTATGGGAAAGGACTGCTTTTCTTTTGAGACCTTTATTGCTTCTGGGGTCCTATATCTGAAGAAAGATGGCATACAACTACAATAAATACATCTCAGAAATACATTCCTGATTCAACTAAACCCTTTTCATTAATTACAGGAGAATATTAGAGGGAATTGTATTCAATTTTAAATGAAAAAAGTTACTCTGGATCACCATTTTAAACCCATTTGTTAAATTATAGCTGGAAATTGGGGAAGACAAGTCATGAGCATGCAACCTGTGGTCATTCATCTCTTCTTTGCTTACTTGTTGGTGAACCATTTGTGTGCAAATTTGACATCACAATTAGCCAGAACCTGTGTTGGTAATTAGTGTTAAATGTGTGCTGGTTTTTAGCCTTCACCATTTGGACCGTCACCTTTCTATGAATTGGGTCATCTTTTCAGAGGACGACAAGAAAAAGTACCAGGGACTTGGCCCAAGGGCGCTGGTTTGCTTCCACGGGTCCAGGGAGCTGGGTCCTTTGGTCCTTGAAATTATCGTCCTGATTGATTATTGGCATCAGACTCAAATCAGAAGGCACTAATTTTGCACCTTAGTACTACCATTAGCACTAAGCCACTTTAAATCTGGTTAGTTGGGAGTGATCAACCCCTTTGGACAACAAACAGTACATCCAGCTGCCGCGGGCAATTGACCATCTTGCCTAGAAGTGGGCAACCTCTTGCCATCATACGAGATTGCCATCATATGAGATTTTCATCCCTCATTTGCTAATTATTAACCCGGAAGACTGTACTGACTATCTTTGGGCCCGATTATTGTAGTATTCTGCTGGTTCCCATTTTTAGATAGAATTTTGACAGAGTGTGTTGTCCATGTCCTAAGTCCTTTTATGTAGTCCTCAGACTGTGCAACCAACCACAGATTGTGCTGATTATTTTGCTGTGTTGATCTCTTCTGATTTTGTGAATTGTTACTAACTGTGCAGACCATTCTCATTGCACTAATAATAATCATCTATATTAGTGACCGGAGAAGATTTTAAGAACTAACAGTGTTACTGCTGACGAGTATTTTAGCTCTTACTTGTTTAGCACTTTAATCGTAGTAATTATTACCACTATCACCATTCCTGTGGTATTGAATTAACAACCTGCGAGCTTTAGCACTTTAATTTGACTTAACGTACCATTTAGCATTGAATCGAGGCCCTCCATGACGCACTTTATTTTAGCACCTTAGAGCGGATTGAGAAAACAATTCGCACCTTAATTATTATTCCATCTCGCATGACCCATCTGCATTTAAAAACTTCAGGAATACTCTCCCGATAGTCCCTAATACCTACCACTTATGTCATCACCCTTCCCCCGGTACTTGTTAATCTTGCTACTGATTGTTTACGCTGGAGAGTGGGAACGGAGTAGGCCAACGGGATTTGAGCATTATAAAACGGGAACAGGAAACAGATGGAGGACAGGTTTATGGTACCCCGTAACCATAATATGTCAAACAACTAATGATGCATTTCTTGTTGATACGTTGGCTGCTCATTGCGTCATGGAGGAGGGAGGGGGTTCCGTTAACCGGGGAGCCCCCATAGAAGTCGTGGTGGGGAGGGGGAGATACAGGAAAGGGAGACCTCTAATTCGGCCTAGGGATCGTGGAACAACATTAGTAATTCCAAATCGGTCTCCTGATATGGTAAGTTGGTGTAACCAGGATGGCGGTCCCTCCGGATTGAAAGTGGTGCTGTTGAACGCCAGATCTGTCAACGGTAAAACAACTTTCATCCAGGATATAATCCTGGATGAACGGGCAGATCTGGCGTGCATCACAGAGACCTGGTTGGATGAAGCGGGAGGTGTAAACTTAACCCAGCTTTGCCCACCAGGGTTCTCTGTGCAGCACCAACCGAGATCCGGAGGGCGGGGAGGTTGGGTTGCAGTGGTCTATAGAGATACCATTCCTCTGACCAGGGCCCCCATCCCACAGTCAACAAAATTTGAATGCGTCTACCTGAGGGTGGGAGACCGGGACAGATTAGGGATTCTGCTAGTGTACCGGCCACCTCGCTGCACTACAGACTCCCTGACTGAGCTAGCGGGGGTGGTCTCGGACCTGGTGTTGGAGTCCCAACGGCTGCTTGTGCTGGGGGACTTCAACATCCACGCCGAGTCCGCCTCATCGGGAGCGGCTCAGGACTTCATGTCTACCATGGCAACCATGGGGCTGTCCCAACAAGTATCTGGCCCCACCCACAGTGCTGGACATACATTGGACTTGGTTTTCTGTCAGGGATGGGAGGAAGGTGGCGGTGTTGAGGAGTTATCCATCTCTCCGTTGCCATGGACCGACCACCACCTGGTCTGCTTTAGACTCACTGCACCCCCTAACCTCCGCAGAGGTGGAGGACCCATTAAGCTGGTCCACCCCAGGAGGCTTATGGATCCGGATGGTTTCCTGATGGCTCTTGGGGACTTTCCCGCCACCGCGGTTGGTGATCCTGTTGATGCCCTGGTCGCTCTCTGGAATGGGGAGATGACTAGGGCAATAAACACGATCGCTCCAGAACGTCCCCTCTCAAGTAGCCGAGCTAAACCAGCCCCTTGGTTTACTGAGGAGCTGGCAGCGTTGAAGCGAAAGAAGAGGGAACTAGAGAGCGTGTGGCGTTCGGATCCGAGCGAGCCAAATCGAACACGGTTTGTGTCCTTTTTAAGGGCATATGCCGCGGCAATAAAAGCCGCAAAGAAATTCTTTGCGGCTACTATTGCGTCTGCAAAGAACCGTCCGGCTGAACTGTTCCGAGTTGTCAGAGGCCTTTTAAAACCCACCATCCAGGATGGGTGCCCTGATGACTCGGCAGTTCGCTGTGAAGCCTTTGCTCAGTTCTTTGCAGACAAAGTTGCTTTGATCCGCTCTGGTCTGGACACCATATTAACGGCAGTCTCTGAGGATGTAACACGAGCATCTGCTTGTCCGGTTTTGATGGATTCATTTCAATTGGTTCAATCCGAGGATGTGGACAAGGTGCTTGGAGGAATGAGAGCTACCACATGCATCCTAGACCCCTGCCCATCCTGGCTTTTCAAGGAAGCCAGAGGGGGATTGGCCGAGTGGGTAAAGGTGGCAGTTAATGCCTCCCTTCAGGAAAGCAGCATTCCAGAGCTTAAAGCAAGCTGTGATAAAACCGCTGTTGAAGAAACCATCACTGGACCCCACTCAATTCGTCAACTACCGGCCTGTTTCCAATCTCCCCTTTTTGGGCAAAGTCATGGAACGTGTGGTGGCCTCACAACTCCAGGCATTCTTGGTAGACACGGATTATCTAGATCCGGCACAGTCTGGCTTTAGGCCGGGGCATGGTACCGAGACAGCCTTGGTCGCCTTAGTGGATGATCTGCGTCGGGAGCTCGACAGGGGGAGTGTGTCCCTGTTGGTGCTGCTCGACCTCTCAGCGGCCTTCGATACCGTCGATCACGGTATCCTTCTGGGACGCCTCGCGGGGATGGGTCTTGGAGGTACTGTTTTGCAGTGGCTCCGCTCATTCCTCGAGGGTCGGTCCCAGATGGTGTTATGGGGAGACTCCTGTTCAACTCCACAACCTTTGTCTTGTGGGGTTCCTCAGGGTTCAATACTGTCTCCCATGTTGTTTAACATCTACATGAAGCCGCTGGGCGAGATCATCCGGAGTTTCGGAGTGCGATGTCATCTGTACGCAGATGATGTCCAACTCTGTCACTCCTTTCCACCCGCTACTAAGGAGGCTGTCGAGGTCCTGAACCGGTGCTTGGCCGCTGTGACGGTCTGGATGGGGGCGAACAAATTGAAATTGAATCCAGACAAGACAGAGGTACTCCTGGTTAGTCGTAAGGCCGAACAGGGTATAGGGTTACAGCCTGTGTTGGATGGGGTCACACTCCCCCTGAAGACACAGGTTCGCAGTTTGGGTGTGATCCTGGACTCATCGCTGAGCCTGGAACCCCAGGTTTCGGCGGTGACCAGGGGAGCTTCGCACAGTTAAAACTTGTGCGCCAACTGCGACCGTACCTTGGGAAGCCTGACTTAGCCACGGTAGTCCACGCTCTGGTTACATCCCGCCTTGATTACTGCAACGCTCTCTACGTGGGGTTGCCTTTGAAGACAGTCCGGAAGCTCCAGTTAGTCCAACGGGCGGCAGCCATGTTTTTAACAGGAGCTGATCGCAGGGAGCATACAACTCCCTTGCTGAACCAGCTCCACTGGCTGCCGATATGCTACCGGGCTCAATTCAAGGTGCTGGCGTTGGCCTTTAAAGCCCTAAACGGTTCTGGCCCAACTTATCTATCCGAACGTATCTCAGCCTATCAGCCCACCAGGACCCTAAGATCTTCCGGAGAGTCCCTTCTCTCTATCCCTCCAGCTTCAGAAGTGCGGCTGGCGGGAACGAGAGATAGGGCCTTCTCTGTGGTGGCCCCCTGGCTTTGGAACACCCTCCCTATAGAGGTACGATCAGCCTCTTCGCTGATGGTGTTTAGGAAGAGACTGAACATGGTTATTCAAACAAGCATTCGGCTAATCTGTGGCAATTAAATCGAATCTTGGTGACTATGGACAGGAAATATGGACAACGAACTCTGGATTGTGATTTCAACCTGAGATATATGGGATTATTATTGGTGGCCCAATAATTTGTTATTGTATTTGTATATGTTTTTTAAACTGAGATTGTTTTTAAACTGAGATTGTTTTTAAAATGCTGTAAACCGCAATTGAGTCGCCGTTCCAGGCTGAGAAATTAGCGGTATACAAGTGTACCAAATAAATAAATAAATAAATAAATGTGAATTTAATAATGATGTGTGGGAATGAATGGAAGAATGGAAGGATGTATGGAGTTAATAATTTTGGAAACACCAGTAAAAGACCCAGGCCTGCAATGACTAACTACCTGCTTGCTGGACTTGCTAATGAGAAACCCTGATAAGAACTGGGGCAGTGATAATGGAAATGTTTGCAACCTTTCTTATGCTAAGAAGGAAGTCAACACAGGCCTTGTGTTTGTCAACACCAATCAAGAAGATCAACATCTGGCCAGGAAACTGGAATGGATCCAGGATGGAAGACATCGTTATTTTACAACTTTGAGACATCAACAGAATATTCCTATAAAAGACTCGGTTTAATAATGACCAAATTGTGGCAGACTGAGGAGTCTGTTCCACCCGCTATGCTCTGCTCCATGGGAAGGAGAAAGATAGTGTGCCTATGGAGAGTGGCAGATCTGCATGGGAGCAGTCTGGTCACTTTGGGGCTCCTTTCTCAAGGGAAGAGGAAGAAGTGCACTTTTGGAGTCTTGGTTTTTGTGCAGGGAGTCACGTTCTGCTCTATGGAAAACAGAGATCTGGTCCTTGGCATTGTGCTTAGGGAAAGAAGTTTGGCATTTCAGTGTTTTGAAGTTATAGAGTTAGGGAACTATACATTGGCAGGCTGCGGGAAAGCAGGATCTGGACTGACAGGTGCTTCTCCAAGGAGGGAGAAAAAGATATGGTAATATTTTAGATGCATGTGGATGAATGCGTATACATGTGTGTGAATGTTGAGTGAAAATGTAATTCCCCTTTGTTTGTTTGTTAACCAATGTAATTGTAAATCCAATGTAGTTGCATCGAATCTGTATGTCTGTAGGTCCAATGTCATTCTTTGTCTAAATGTTTTCTGTAATCTGATATACCCTCTCATAAAAGATAAAAAGAACCTATGCTTCAAAGCTATTGAAAAGTCATACATGACATAATTGGTGTCAAAAGTGGGATATTCTTTTCCAATGTGGGAAAGTTATTCATAACATTTGTAGGTAAGCTATTTCCCTGTAGGCCTCTGCCATATTTGGAGATTTTTTTGCTCATTTTGTTGAGCTGGAATATGTGCATCCTGAATCTCTGCCCCAAGGTCTTGCTCTGTTGACATTACTATGTGTAGTGCCTAAATGTCTCATCCTGATCAAATTCAAAATCTTTCTGACTCTGCTTCCATTTAGCCTTGCAGGTTCTGAGAGGAAGGGATGATGTGGAAGATGAGATTCAGGAGCTTCATCAGGAGGACGTTGCTGAGAAGGCAGACAAGCACATGAATGCACTGAAGTTGATAAGGATACGAAACATGAGGTGGCATGTTCTTACTATAGTTGTTTTGATGACCGGGCAGCAGTTTTCTGGTACCAATGCGGTAAGGAAGGCAGAACTATCCAAAACAGGAAGAACGAGGAGATAGTCAATAAGTACTACTGGCCTTAATTCGATTGGTGACTCCAACTCATGTAGTCTCATTGAATCAATGGGATTAATGTATTACTTATCCACCTTTCACCATTGATTCAGTGGGCCCACCTTAACTGGAAATACTACTAACAGGATGCAGACCAGTGTGTCCATAAATTACCCTGATAATTGTAATTATCCTTCTTTTCTCTTCTTCCACTTTCTAATTCTTATCTTTCATCCATCCTTCCCCTTCTCTTTGCTTTTCTTCTTCTTTCTCTTCCTCCTTTCTACAGAACGCAGTGCTATTTTCCATCTCTGAGTTCTGTGGGGGCCACAGGTATTCTTAAGCACTAACAATGACAGAAAACATACATTCTCTTGAGTAATTCCCAAAACTAAAGAACGAAGAGCCCTATTCGTATTGCTTGAGATGAGTACTGGTCATTGTAGTAGAGTGACTGAAAATGGTTTGTATGATCTGCTTCTGTTGTGTATGTGCCTTTGCATCACCTGTCAACTTATGACAACCCAATGAATTTCATAGAGTTTTCTTTGGCAAAGAATACCAACAGGTGGTGTTGCCAGTTCTTTCCTCTGAAATACAAATCACTTGATTAACCTTCCAAGTACTAGCTCTGATTAACCCTGAAGATCACATAAGATCTGGTGCAATTAGGGGTCAAGTTGTTAATTGCAGCAATAATATGCTTCATGCTTATGTCTATGTTTGATATTTTTATAGATTTAATGGTCTTAACCAACATTTATATGTTATAGATTTAGATATGTGATATATGATATATGTGTGTGAGGCATTGAATTCATTATGTTGCAAACCGCTTTGAGTCCCCCCAGGCATGAGAAAAGCAGTAAAGAAATGCAGTTAATAAATAAATAAATAATAAATCATGGTATTTTGGTTCCTTGGGCTGCCAAAACCAAATGGGATCAGAGAGGTGGAACAACATTATTGGACTAAAGCAGAGTGAAAAAGCAAGTGAGGCTGAATTGTGGAGGGATTGCATTTGCTCATTAGGACAAGAAAACTGGACACTTAGGTCTTTGTAGAGCAGTATGACAATCCCCTGCCCCCAAACATCCATTTACATTTCAGTGGAGACCATAGAAAGCTGCAAAGATGTCTCCAATTTATTGTCGAAGGCTTTCATGGCCGGAATCACTCAGTTCTTGTGGGTTTTTTCGGGCTATATGGCCATGTTCTAGAGGCATTTCTCCTGACGTTTCGCCTGCATCTATGGCAGGCTTCCTCACAGGTCTGCTGGAGCTGGGAAAAAGGGGTTTATATATCTGTGGAATGACCAGGGTGAGACAAAAGGCTTTTGTAAGTTGGGCTAGGTGTGAATCTTTTCAACTGACCACCTTGATTAGCATACAATGGGCTGACAGTGCCTGGAGCAAACTCTTCTTGAAAGGTGATTAGATGTCCCTGCCTGTTTTTCTCTCTGCTGTTTTAATTTTAGAATTTTTTTTAATACTGGTAGCCAGATTTTGTTCATTTTCATGGTTTCTTCCTTTCTGTTGAAATTGTCCACATGTTTGTGGATTTCAATGGTTTCTCTGTGTAGTCTGACATGGTGGTTGTGAGAGTGGTCCAGCATTTTTGTGTTCTCAAATAAAATGCTGTGTCCAGGTTGGTTCATCAGGTGCTCTGCTATGGCTGACTTCTCTGGTTGAAGTAGTCTGCAGTGCCTTTCATGTTCCTTGATTCGTGTTGGGCGCTGCGTTTGGTGGTCCCTATGTAGACTTGTCCACAGCTGCATGGTATACGGTAGACTCCTGCAGAGGTGCGAGGATCCCTCTTGTCCTTTGCTGAACGTAGCATTTGTTGGATTTTCTTGGTGGGTTTGTAGATTGTTTGTATGTTGTGTTTCCTCATCAGCTTCCCTATGCGATCAGTGGTTCCCTTGATGTATGGCAGGAACACTTTTCCTCTGGGTGGATCTTCATCTTTACTCTTGTGGCTTGTTCTTGGTCTTGCAGCTCTTCTGATGTCTGAGGTGGAATATCCATTGGCCTGTAGAGCCCAGTTGAGGTGGTTCAGTTCATCTTGGAGGAGGTGGGGTTCACAGATTCTTTTTGCACGGTCTGCCAAGGCTTTAATGGTGCTTCTTTTTTGACTTGGGTGATGGTTGGAGTTTTTATGTAGATATCTATCTGTGTGTGTGGGTTTTCTGTAAACGGTGTGACCCAATTGTTGATCTGGTTTGCAGATGACTAGGACATCTAGAAAAGGCAGTCTTCCTTCCTTTTCTTTTTCCATAGTGAACTGGATGTTAGGGTGGATGCTGTTAAGATGTTCCAGGAACCTGTTGAGTTCTTCTTCTCCATGGCTCCAAATGGTGAAAGTGTCATCCACATATCTGAACCATATAGTGGGCTTTTTGGTTGCTGTTTCAGGGCTTGTTTTTCAAAGTGTTCCATGTAGAAGTTAGCTATGACTGGGCTGAGAGGGCTCCCCATAGCTACTCCATCTTTCTGTTCATAGAATTCATTGTCCCACTGAAAATAGCTGGTGGTGAGGCAATGGTGAAACAGAGCCGTGATGTCTTCTGGGAACCTCTGGTTGATGAGTGCCATGGTGTCTGCAACTGGGACCATGGTAAATAGAGACACCACATCGAAGCTGATCAGTTTGTCATTTGTATTTAGCTTGAGATTGCTGATTTTTTCAATGAAGTGGGCTGGGACCCTACTATATACAGAAAACTTAAGCAAGACCCAACTTCCAAAATAACCAGAAAAACCAACACTCTAATTAAAAACTCCTCAATCAACTTCGACATACGACAGCAGCTATGTAAATCGGAAGCCCTTCCACCCAGGCTTTATGGACTCCCAAAAATCCATAAGGACTCCACCCCACTCAGACCCATCGTGAGTGCCATTGGATCCCCCACATATGACTTAGCCAAATTTCTTGCTGCACAGTTACAAAGCCACATTGGGCTCACAACACACTACATCAAGGACTCAGCCCACTTCATTGAAAAAATCAGCAATCTCAAGCTAAATACAAATGACAAACTGATCAGCTTCGATGTGGTGTCTCTATTTACCATGGTCCCAGTTGCAGACACCATGGCACTCATCAACCAGAGGTTCCCAGAAGACATCACGGCGCTGTTTCACCATTGCCTCACCACCAGCTACTTTCAGTGGGACAATGAGTTCTACGAACAGAAAGATGGAGTAGCTATGGGGAGCCCTCTCAGCCCGGTCATAGCTAATTTCTACATGGAACACTTTGAAAAACAAGCCCTTGAAACAGCAACCAAAAAGCCCACCATATGGTTCAGATATGTGGATGACACTTTCACCATTTGGAGCCATGGAGAAGAAGAACTCAACAGGTTCCTGGAACATCTTAACAGCATCCACCCTAACATCCAGTTCACTATGGAAAAAGAAAAGGAAGGAAGACTACCTTTTCTAGATGTCCTAGTCATCCGCAAACCAGATCAACAATTGGGTCACACCGTTTACAGAAAACCCACACACACAGATAGATATCTACATAAAAACTCCAACCATCACCCAAGTCAAAAAAGAAGCACCATTAAAGCCTTGGCAGACCGTGCAAAAAGAATCTGTGAACCCCACCTCCTCCAAGATGAACTGAACCACCTCAACTGGGCTCTACAGGCCAATGGATATTCCACCTCAGACATCAGAAGAGCTGCAAGACCAAGAACAAGCCACGAGAGTAAAGATGAAGATCCACCCAGAGGAAAAGTGTTCCTGCCATACATCAAGGGAACCACTGACCGCATAGGGAAGCTGATGAGGAAACACAACATACAAACAATCTACAAACCCACCCAGAAAATCCAACAAATGCTACGTTCAGCAAAGGACAAGAGGGATCCTCTCACCTCTGCAGGAGTCTACCGTATACCATGCAGCTGTGGACAAGTCTACATAGGGACCACCAAACGCAGCATTGCCCAAACACGAATCAAGGAACATGAAAGGCACTGCAGACTACTCCAACCAGAGAAGTCAGCCATAGCAGAGCACCTGATGAACCAACCTGGACACAGCATATTATTTGAGAACACAGAAATGCTGGACCACTCTCAAAACCACCATGTCAGACTACACAGAGAAGCCATTGAAATCCACAAGCATGTGGACAATTTCAACAGAAAGAGAAACCATGAAAATGAACAAAATCTGGCTACCAATATTAAAAAATTCTAAAATTGCAACAGCAAAAACAGCAGAGAGAAAAACAGGCAGGGACATCTAATCATCCTTCAAGAAGAGTTTGCCCCAGGCACAGTCAGCCCATTGTATGCTAATCAAGGTGGGCAGTTGAAAGATCCACACCTAGCCCAACTTACAAAAGCCTTTTGTCTCACCCTGGTCATTCCACAGATATATAAACCCCTTTTTCCCAGCTCCAGCAGACCTGTGAGGAAGCCTGCCATAGATGCAGGCGAAACGTCAGGAGAAATGCCTCTAGAACATGGCCATATAGCCCGAAAAAACCCACAAGAACTGGATGTATCCAATTACTTTCCTGGATCCTCTCTGGCTTTTTCAAGGGTCTCCTTAGGAGGCCCCTGAGGGTGATTTTAATGCTTGATGCCCAGTTGAAGAGAAATAGCTGAACATTGCTCTATTGCTCCTCTACTGTCCATCAACATGAGAATAGCTATCTCATATTTTCCTCACTGAAAACATGCATTGGAAGGGTTTTTTTTCCAACTGTACTCTTGGACTAGAATTCCAACACCTGCAGCAATTAAATTAAACTTACATTCTCCCTTTTTCCTTTATATTCCATTTTGAGGGGACTCAAAGCAGCTCTGGGAACCTGATAAAGTTTTCTTTGAGACCATCACTGGAAACAAAAGAAAAATAGCATCTCCCTAATGGGCATTTTAAAGAAAAGATCCCAAAAGTGAGACCATTAGAAAGAGAGATTGAAAAAAAAACGATGCCTTCTTATAGAACAGAGGTGTGGAACTGTGATGGGTTTGAGTACCATTTTTATGTCCCTTTAATTCTCTTGGAGCTACATGGATCCAAGTTCACATCTGTTTCTTTTTTTAGGTTTGTGATTGTTTTCACATTTAGCAACATGAGCAGATAGGGGCCAGGACCTATTTGAAACTATTAATAGTTATTCTTACAGGTTTCCATGAGAGACACATCACTTTTGAGAGGCGGGGGCAGGAAAAGTCTATAGAAAGTTTGGAGGAATTAATGGTCACAAAAAGCCCAAAGTCATTCTTTGTCCCTCCTGTTCGAAGAGGTCTTGATTAAGAGCGGTCACAATGGAAGTTTCCATATAGGGTGTTTCAATCCCTCAAGACTCTGGCAGATAAGTAATTACTTCCATCTTGAAAATAACTTTTGATTTTCCTGGTTGAATTTCAGGTGTACTTTTATACAGACAGAACCTATACTGCTATAAGAGGCAGTAATAAGGATGTTCGTCTTGTCAGTATAGTCACAACAATATTCACCAGCTGCTCAACATTCTTAGGGGTAAACTTCGCTACCTTGTCTTTCTTACTCTTAAAATAAGCAAATCACACAGTCCAAAGGCATATTCTAGGGGCCATTCCATTATTCATTATTGCACTGAGAGAACCTTATTGCACTGGGAATCTTTGTCCAAAGGCTTGATCTCACAACCATGCCTTAGCTTTCTTCTTGAAGGTCAGGAGGGTAATTTCCCTCTCGAGGGAGTTCCATAGCCAAGGGGCCACTGCTGAGAAGGCCTTGTCTCTCGTCCCCACCAGTTGCACCTGTGAGGTGGGTGGGATTGAGAGCAGGGCCTCCTTGGACAATCTTAACCTCTGAGATGGTTCATAGAGGGAGATATGTTCTGACAGATAATCTCGGCCGGAATTGTTTATACCACCAGTGTAGATCCAAATAATGCAGTTCAATGCAGCTCAAAATGTATTTTATGGATCTACACTGACCATATAATGCAGTTCAAACAGCCTACATTGAGGGATATTACAGATGGAAACACATGGCTTTTGAAGTGTCTAGATAGCTGGATTGGATCCAAATGGATTCATTGTCCAATGACACTGCTGCTATCACTCTTTCTCTGCATTGAATCACATTGGGGAAAGAGGATGGATACTGCCCATGTTAGCGTACCACCATCTTCTCTAGCCAGTCATGGAACTATGTGAAAGCTCCTGGCTGTTACAGGCACCTCTGTGTAGTCAGAATTGGGCACTGGCACAACCAGGATAGAGGAAGTGCAGATGCAATCCCAGACTGCCTCGGAGGTTTACACTGGTGTAAATGTGCTCTTAATTAAAACTTCTAGAGACCTTCCCTTTATTATCATTAAAAAGGCAGCTTGGGAATGCAATGGGGTCTGGAGGCTCACAGAAACAACTTGCAGGATTTACATAGCTCTCTAGGATGTATTTACTCACCTTTGGTAAATAATAACCTAATACGAGAGAGAATGATGTTAATTTTAAGCAACGAAATCTCTCCCAATTCAATATACTAAGCAAGGGTCTGAGTGTGTCCGTTACATATTATGACCACTTCTCTCTCTTCTCATTTTTCCCCCTTACATTCCTTAGATATACCTGGTGGACAACTTGGGACGAAGGGTTGTGCTTCTTATTGGCTATTTATCTTGTTCCATCACCTTACCTCTCCTGCTCATGTCTTTTGAATTGCAGGTTTGTAAATGTATTATTATTCCATGAATTTAAAATTTACATGCTATCACGATTGTATTTTCACCTTTGTTCCATTTATTTTAATAGGTACATTTTATAGAAATGTATTTTAATATATTCCTTTTGTTGTATGTATTTTATGGTGATGTGTTTTAACTATGTTGTGCCCCACCTTGACCCATGAGAAAAGGTGGGTAACAAATAAAATGTGTTGTTGCTGTTACAATAGTGTCATTGTAATAAAAGAGAACTGAGATCTTATTTAATCCCACTTTGATTGGAAAATAGCAATCACTCATAACACTCAAACTATGTCATTTAAACAAAGAAAGTAAGGATAACCACCCTGAGTCCCATTGGGGAGATAGGGCAGTCTAAAAATAAACTTTTACTATTATAAGTGGAACCAAGCAATTAGCTTTGCTAGATGTATATTATATGACTGACATATGTTCAACTTTATCCAACAGAAGAACTTCCCACAGATGACATATATCAGTGCAATTTTGATTGGTGTATTCCTCTTGTCGCATGCCTTTGGGCCATGTAAGTTTTCAGACCATGTACTGAACTTCTTGAGTGAAGTGCACGATAAGAATAAGAGATGTTGATAAGACAACAACAACAACAACAAGACCATGACTCTTTGTGCCTTGAACCTTTTCTCCTCCTGCAGATCCAATTCCATATCTAATTGTTACTGAGCTCTTTCTTCAGTCGTCACGTTCCTCCGGCTTTATGATTGCTGGAATTTTGGAATGGCTTTTCAACTTTATCACAGGAATGTCATTCATTGAAGTAGAAGTGAGTCACACCAATAATTTAGTAGAAAATGCACTATCCACCACCTTTATTCCTCAAGAACCTTGCCTATGAAGCTATATTACAAAGTGAGCCATTTGTCAGCATTCCTTGCTAGGTTGGCCAGGTGAAATGCTAAACAGGGTGTCTGTCCAGTTCTTGTGAGAAAGAGGGTATTTCAGCTGGTGATGCTGGCTTGCCAAATAATATTTGTTTTTTAATAATAATAATAATAATAATAATAATAATAATAATAATAATTATTATTATTATTATTATTATTATTATTATTATTATTATTATTAGAAACACAACAAGATGAGTCCACAGCAAACAAGGTCACTCTGCTGGCTGTTGTAATGGACTGTGTGATCTATGGGCGAATAATGCATTCCGATCCCAGTAAGGTGGCTTTTTGCAGCTGGCAGATGGTAATTTTGTCAGTGCCGATTGTGTTTAAGTGCAGGCCAAGGTCTTTAGGCACTGCACCCAGTGAGCCAATCACCACTGGGACCACCTTTACTGGCTTGTACCAGAGTCTTTGCAGTTTGATCTTTAAATCCTCATATTGTGTCAGTTTTTCCAGTTGTTTCTCTTCAATCCTGCTGTCGCCTGGGATTGCAACATCAATGATCCATACTTGGTTTTTAACATGATCGTGAGGTGAGGAATATTGTGCTCCAAAATTCTGTCTGTCTGAATTCAGAAATCCCAGAGTAGTTTGACATGTTCATTTTCTGTAACGTTTTCAGGCTTGTGATCCCACCAGTTCTTTTTTCGCAGGCAGATGGTATTTGTRGCACAAGTTCCAATGAAKCATCCAAGCAACAGTGTTATKCCTCTGCTTGTAGTGTGTCTGTGTGATCTTCTTGTAGCARATGAGGATGTGATCTATTGTTTCATCTGCTTCCTTGCAGAGTCTACACTTGGGATCTGTCATCAACTTTTCAATTCTGTCTTTRATGGCAMTGGTTCTAATGGCTTGTTATTGGGCTGACAGAATCAGGCCCTCCGTCTCCTTTTTCAAAGTTCCATTTGTGAGCCACAGCCATGTTTTTTCTTTGTCAATTTGGCTCCCAATTTTTCCCAGGAACYGTCCATGGMGAGTCTTTTTTCGCCAGTTTTCTCTTCTGCTCTGCATTGTGCTTTTTTAAAAGTATTGTTATTATTGTTATTGTTGTTATATACCCCACTCCAACCCTCCACCCTAGAAAACAATTTAAACAATAAACTATAGAAATAACATTTGAAATATCAGTCTTAGTCTCAGCTTTTGCACTCCACATCTTAATACTTTCTCTAAATAATTCCTAACTGGATCCCCCATATTCTTAATTAAACATTTTCACTTTTGTCTATATTGTTCAATTTACAATTTGTTATTTCCACATTTAGCATATTTACTATATAGTTTTACTAATTTGTCAGAGTCCACTGTTTTATCTTTCCAACCTTTCACTAAAACAATTTGAGCACACAGTATTAGGTTGTCAACCACTTTTTTTCCTTTTGCACATTACACATTCCTGGTATCCTGGCATGTAATACATTTCTATTGGCTATTATGATTTGAAGATTTAACATTCTATTAATTTTCCCTTCAATCATTCTCCAGTACTCCGGTACTCTTTCACATTCCCATATCATGTGATTAAACACACCTCTTTGTTTACAACCATGCCAACACCTGTCATTTGCCCCTGGTAAAAACGTGCACGTTGTGCAGGAGTGTTGTTGTTTATTCGTTCAGTCACTTCCAACTCTTTGTGACCTCATGAACCAGCCCACACCAGAGCTACCTGTCGGCCGTCACCACCCCCAGATCCTTCAGAGTCAAGCCAGTCACTTCAAGAATACCAACCATTCATCTTGCCCTTGGTCTACCCCTCTTCCTTTTTGCTTCAATTTTCCCCAGCATCATTGTCTTCTCCAAGCTTTCCTGTCTTCTCATGATGTGGCCAAAGTACTTCATCTTTGCCTCTACTATCCTTCCCTCCAATGAGCAGTCGGGTTTTATTTCCTGAAGTATGGACTGGTTGGATCTTCTTGCAGTCCAAGGCACTATCAGAATTTCCCTCCAACACCACATTTCTAAAGCATCTATCTTCCTTCGCTCAGCCTTCCTTATGATCCAGCTCTCACATCCGTAGGTTACTACGGGGAATACCATTGCTTTAACTATGCGGATCTTTGTTGCCAGTGTGATGTCTCTACTCTTCTGGGTTGTTGTAGGTTTTTCCAGGCTATATGGCCATGTTCTAGAGGCATTTTCTCCTGACATTTCACCTGCATCTATGGCAAGCATCCTCAGAGATAGTGAGGTCTGTTGGAAGTAGAAAAATGGGTTTATATATCTGTGGAATGACCAGGTGGGACAAAGGGCTTTTGTCTGTCGGAGCTGGGTGTGAATGTTTCAACTGACCACCTTGATTAGCATTGAATGGCTTGGAAATGCCTTTAGGAAACTCTTGTAGAGAGGTGATTTGATGTGCCTGATTGTTTCCTCTCTGTTGTTTTGCTGTTGTAATTTTTGAGTTTTTTTTAATACTGGTAGCCAAATTTTGTTCATTTTCATGGTATCTTCCTTTCTGTTGAAATTGTCCACATGCTTGTGTATTTCAATGGCTTCTCTGTGTAGTCTGACATGGTGTTTGTGAGAGTGGTCCAGCATTTCTGTGTTCTCAAATAAAATGCTGTGTCCGGGTTGGTTCATCAGGTGCTCTGCTATGGCTGATTTCTCTGGTTGAAGGAGTCTGCAGTGCCTTTCATGTTCCTTGATTCGTGTTTGGGCAATGCTGCGTTTGGTGGTCCCTATGTAGACTTGTTCTCAGCTGCATGGTATACGGTAGACTCCTGCAGAAGTGAGAGGATCCCTCTTGTCCTTTGCTGAACGTAGCATTTGTTGGATTTTCTTGGTGAGTCTGTAGGTGGTTTGTATGCTGTAATTCCTCATCAGCTTCCGTATGCGGTCAGTGGTTCCCTTGTTGTATGGCAAGACCACTTTTCCTCTGGGTGGATCTTCATCTTGACTCTCGTGGCTTGTTCTTGGTCTTGCAGCTCTTCTGATGTCTGAGGTGGAGTATCCATTGGCCTGGAGAGCCCAGTTGAGGTGGTTCAGTTCATCTTGGAGGAGGTGGGGTTCGCAGATTCTTTTTGCACAGTCTGCCAAGGCTTTAATGGTGCTTCTTTTTTGACTTGGGTGATGGTTGGGGAAGCTGATGAGGGAAGCTGATGAGGAAACACAACATACAAACCACCTACAGACCCACCAAGAAAATCCAACAAATGTTACGTTCAGCAAAGGACAAGAGGGATCCTCTCACTTCTGCAGGAGTCTACCATATACCAAGACAGCTCAGAGATGTGAACCTTTTGCCTTGTGACTGAATGCAGAGATTTGGAATTAAAAGATCTGATAATTCACTGTGCTTTGGACCAAATGCTATATTATAGGCCCAAAGAACCTTCCATTTTTTTCTCATGACTGTCCTTTTCTCTTCCTAGGAAAGAATCGGTAACCTCAGCATCATGCTTTTCTTCCCTGTCTGTATTCTCTGCTTTGTTTACATCTTCAACATTCTCCCTGAAACAAAAAACAGGACCTTCGTGGATATCAAGAGACTCATGGCAATCCAGACAGCCAAGAAGGTCAAGATCAAGCAGATAATGAGTGCATAAGATTTCCAGAAGTGTTCTATATAGTGTTTTATTTATTCATTTTAAAATTAAAATTTACTTTTTCTTTAAAAATATGAAGCAAGAGAGCCTTTGTCATTATCTTTCAAATGCATTCACTTTGGTGATTGGACTCCTATTGCTATCATGCATGTGAATAAGTTCTGTATGCATGCAACTGTACTTTTTAGACCATTGTATGACTTGCAGCAATAGCTGATATAATGGAAGCAACTAAGTTGGCCTACCCACAACTGGTAGGCAATGCCTAAGGCATGGGAGGGATTTGAAGCCCGCCATGAAGGAGATGGGAAAATTGATTTAATTAAGTCTATCTACGAGGGGTATTTTTTAAGTAAGGTCAGTTTGAACATAAGTACACAACGAAAGTTTATTTCAAAAAAGGAAATTTATTTTCAGAAAGTACATACTTCACTCTATTTTTCGACATAGTTGCCAAGTTTGTTCAAACACTTATCATACCTCTGAACCAATTTTGAAATACCCTCTTCATAAAAACTTGCCGTCTGCTTCGATAACCAAGAGTCAAGAACTTCATCGCACACTCAAATCTTTGGTTTTTGTGGTGCTCTGTTAGGAGTTTCGGGACCCAACGGGAGCAGAGCTTCCTAAACTTTAGGAGTTCAGAAACAATGTTGTAAAGCACTGATCTCGACACGTCAGGAAATTCGTTTGAGAGACCTGTTATTGTGAAGCGCCTGTTCTCACGAATCCTCGCTTCAACAGAAGTCACCAAATTGTCTGTAATCAAAGAAGGGTGACGGGAGCGGTCCTCATCATGGACGTTGTCACGGCCATCTTTGAATTGTCGTACCCACTTACGCACTTTGTTTTCACTCATAACAATATCACCATACACTTCACAAATCTGTTGATGAATTTCTGCAGCAGGCAGGTTCCTTATCACTGAGCGAACCTCACATGTGGCGGGTGAGTTGATAGTCTTAAACATTTTTAAAGCACAGAACAGAACCATACAGAACCATAGCTACAGAGCGGAAACTGAGCACAGTTGTTCCCGAGGCATGCTGGTACACGATACACGCGCTTATTGCGGTATGTGTGTGAACTACTAGTATCTACAATAAAACGGGCCTTACTTTAAAAATACCCCTCGTATGTATATAATAAAAATCAGTGTTTGGATGCGGAGGGAGGACGGTATATGTGGCAGCTTTCTAATTGGCTGCCACTTTCACAGGCCACTGTGACCAGCATGGGTGTCGGACCTGGACCAAACTTGGCACACATAACCCCATGACCCCCTTTACGTCCTGGTGAAGTTTGGGGGAGGACAGACAAATGATGATGGGATTTGTAGTACTTTCAAACCCATTGGTTCCCACAGACCACTGTGGCCCCCAACAAAGACCGATAAATACCAAACTTGGCATACAGAGACCCCATGACCCACTCTACATGCTACTGCAGTTTGGAGGAGGGCTGACCATGGATGGTGGGACTTGAAGTACCTCCACTCAATTCCCGAGACCACTGTGACCCTCATCCAATGATCAATCAAGACCAAACTTGGCATACATAACCCCCATGACCCTCTTTACGTTCTGGTGAGGGTTGGGGGAGGACGGACAATGGATGATGGGATTTTTAGTACTTTCCCACCCTTTCTGTTCCCCCAGACTACTGCGGCCCCCAACAAAGACCAATAAAGTCCACACTTGGCACACAGAGCCCTCATGACCCACTATACATCCTACTGCTGTTTAGAGGAGGGTGGGCCATGGATGATGGGACTTGAAGTACATCACTCACTTCCCAAGACAGCTGAAAACCTCATTCAATGACTAATCAAGACCAAACTTGGCACAAGGAGCCCCAATGGCCCACTCTACACCCTGGTGCAGTTTTGAGGAGGATAGACCAAGCTAGTATAAAATATAGAAAGAACTATACTGTTTAAATTATCTTATATTATGCAACTACATTTCATGATTTGCTAAAAAAATATTTTAACTCTCTCCCCCCCCCCCCATTTTTTTCTTGGCTATGGTCCTGCTGGTAATACTGGTGGTATTCATTAGGCCTGGGTAACAACGAAATTTGTTTCTAAAATCGATTCGTTTTTTGGGGTTTTTGCATTTCGATATTTAAAAGAATTCCGAAATTTTTCTTTTAAAAAGTTCGATATTTACGAAATTTCGTAAATGTTAAAAAAATTACGAAACATTAACGAAACAAATACGAAACAATAACGAATCGATTCGTTAATGGCGGACGCGACCACACAATACGCTAAAAAACCTCCAAATGGGACAGGGGGAACTTCTGAAGCTTCCCTCTCCCTCTGTTGTTGACTGTTGGTGTGATATTATAATTTTTTTCACTAATTAAACAAAAAACAACTATAAAACTTGCCCCAGACATGCGGAAATAATAACGAAACGACCTCAAACCAATAACAAAACGAATACATAACGAATCCGAAGCATTTACGAAACGAATTTAAAAATTCGTTTCGTTTTTAAGTTGCTCCAGAATGGTTCGTTATTGCTTCGTTATAAAAAAAAATAACGAATTTTTAACGAATTAACGAATTAACGAAATGAAACTGCCCAGCCCTAGTATTCATGTGTTGAGCAATAATAGTCTTTGAAATCTCCATTCTGCTATGCATCCACATTGCAGAGGCCGCTTCTAGATAGCACTTTAATCCTCGCCAAAGAGGGTTTTAAAAACCTGCTTTGGTGTGGGTTAAAGTCCACACACCTCCCCCTAAATCATTCACTTTCCCCAGGGGGTGTCTGGATGGCCTCCTAGTACCTTCCAGGAGGGCACCAAAACACCCCCCATGGCATTAAAAAAGGAAATAACTCAATCAGCTACCATTATGCCTTTCGCTATTATGCCTTTTGACATGTAGCACTAAGAGATGAGGGGCCATTCCATGCCAAAAAGCATAAATGTGGAGGAGTACATTTTTATTTTATTTTAAAGGTTTTAGGGGGTTGGGAATTTGAGGGAGGAGTAGATTCCCTCTTCACTTCTCCAGGCCCACCAGGCCAAAGAAGCGAATGGGGCTGTGCAGACTGACTCCTCGGTAGTCCCAGAGGTCTGTCATAGAATTATAGAATCATAGAATCAAAGAGATGGAAGAGACCTCATGGGCCATCCAGTCCAACCCCCTGCCAAGAAGCAGGAATATTGCATTCAAATCACCCCTGACAGATGGCCATGCAGTCTCTGTTTAAAAGCTTCCAAAGAAGGAGCCTCCACCACACTCCGGGGTAGAGAGTTCCACTGCTGAACGGCTCTCACAGTCAGGAAGTTCTTCCTCATGTTCAGATGGAATCTCCTCTCTTGTAGTTTGAAGCCATTGTTCCGCGTCCTAGTCTCCAAGGAAGCAGAAAAGAAGCTTGCTCCCTCCTTGTGGCTTCATCTCACATATTTATACATGGCTATCATATCTCCTCTCAGCCTTCTCTTCTTCAGGCTAAACATGCTCAGCTCCTTAAGCTGCTCCTCATAGAGCTTGTTCTCCAGACCCTTGATCATTTTAGTCGCCCTTCTCTGGAGACATTCTAGCTTGTCAATATCTCTCTTGAATTGTGGTGCCCAGAATTGGACACAATATTCCAGGTGTGGTCTAACCAAAGCGGAATAGAGGGGTAGCATTACTTCCTTAGATCTAGACACTATGCTCCTATTGATGCAGGCCAAAATCCCATTGGCTTTTTTTGCCGCCACATCACATTGTTGGCTCATGTTTAACTTGTTGTCCACGAGGACTCCAAAATCTTTTTCACATGTACTGCTCTCGAGCCAGGCGTCCCCCATTCTGTATCTTTCCATTTCGTTTTTTCTGCCTAAGTGGAGTATCTTGCATTTGTCCCTGTTGAACTTCATTTTGTCAGTTTTGGCCCATCTCTCTAATCTGTCAAGATCATTTTGAATCCTGTTCCTGTCCTCTGGAGTATTGGCTATCCCTCCCAATTTGGTGTCGTCTGCAAACTTGATGATCCTGCCTTCTAGCCCTTCATCTAAGTCATTAATAAAGATGTTGAACAGGACCGGGCCCAGGACGGAACCCTGCGGCACTCCGCTCGTCACTTCTTTCCAGGATGAAGAGGAAGCATTGGTGAGCACCCTCTGGGTTCATCCATTTAACCAATTACTAATCCACCTCATCGTAGTTTTGCCTAGCCCACATTGGACTATTTTCCTTGCCAAAGGTCATGGGGGACCTTGTGGAAGACCTTACTGAAATCCAGGTACGCTACATCCACAGCATTCCCCGCCTCTACCCAGCTTGTAACTCTATCGAAGTTACAAGCTCTGTCCCCACAGGACCCATGCACAAATTAATTCAGGACAAAGTGGGGTTTTCCTCCTTTGTCTCAAATTAATTGGGTTTTTTCCAGAGACGTTGTTTGGATGCTTCCGGCAAACCACGGGAGCTCCTGCATTATAGGGCCTGTCTGGATGGGTCCAGAGACCACTTTAACAGTCATGGTTCAGGGCTATGGAATCACATTTATAAGTTTTCTAGCCTTGCCTGCCAAAGGGTGCTGGTAACTTCTGGGATCCCATGGCATTGAGCCATGGCAGTTAAAGTAGTCTCAGACTGCATCAATTCTACAGTATAGATGCACCCTCAACCATTGTTCTGTCACAAGTTTTATACTATCTTTCTTCTTCTTTCAAACCAACTGATGGAAGGATTTGGAGGTATAAATCCTACACCCAAACTCAGATACTTTCAGTACTTTTTTTCATGCAGAAGATATAATAGTATAAAGAAGGGTTTTATACCTAATTTTATCTGCTGAAAGAACTAGAAAATTAATTACATAGAAGATAAGGGGGACTGTATTATAATAAATGGACACTGTGGAAGACATGAATGATTGAAAATAGGATATGAATCAGAGCTGTTATTAACTAGAACTCTTAATATTTATATGATTCGTTTAACAGAGCTCCAATTTATTTTGGGGCACATCAATTTAATAAGTATCAGAATCC